AATTTATTGGACTCCATTACATTTGTATAGAAAAGGAATGTCAAAAACAGCATTTTGTTGGAGATGTAATAACAATCATTCTTCTTTAAAACATATGTTTCTACAATGTCATATACTTACCAAATTTTGGGAGAAAGTGGTAGACTATATAAATACGATTGTGCAACAAAAGCTAAAATTTTCAGAGGATAATATTCTTTTGAATTATATACCTAGTACATGGAACTTGACAACCTTACAACATAAATGGATTCTTCATGTCCTTACTATGGCCAAAAGACTGATATTGCAGCATTGGAAAAATAAATGTATGGCCTCATTTACTCAATGGATTGAAGACCTGATTGCACTTGCTACTTACGAGGGGATTGCCATAGATGTAGATTTTGTATGGATAAATATAATGAAATATGGGACTCACTTATACAAAATACCGTAGGTTAAAAAAAGTGAACTATCCTATCAGTGAGATATCCTTGTTCTTTTTTTATTTATTCTGCAAGCCCCCGTGGTGGTTTGCGAAATAAATTTGCCACTGCCATGTTTATTTTTATTTCTGTCTTCTAGTGTCTTGTTTAGTTTTAGATAGGTTTTTAATTTTATTTAATATTTCAACTATAAAGACCTGTTTGAGAGCTAAAATGAGTGTACAGTATGTGTATGTGTGTATATGTGTATACACACATACATATACACATACATACATACATACAAAGTAAACTGAATCTTTCTATAAAATGCAGGGGGGGAGTCTGTTTTAATATCAATTTCTTCTCCAGAAACAGAATGAGATTTAATCATTGTATATTGTATTAATCCTGATTGTATAACCTAACTACTTATGTTAAAAATATTTCATAGAAAAGCATTTCTTGGTAATCCTTTGGTCTTTAGTTTCAGACAAAAATAGTTACTAGTTTCAAAATTTGTTTAGAAAGCAGGAACTGGAAAGAACTTAGATTCAGTTTTTCTTCATAGCCGTGTGTAAATATATGTAATTAGCCTTATACTTATCTGCATTAGAATCATTAGAACTGAAACCCCTTTTTAATCTAAACACTGTTCCCTTTTCAATGTCAGCCTGTTTCTGGACCAATACAGAGCTAGCCTGGTGGATGCAATAAAGAGATTACTTCATCACAGTGTAAGTATGTTTCTATTTTCTCCTGAACATGGGCTTCAGAATAATTAGTCTGTGCACAATGATTGAGAGAGTAATGGAATGGCAGGATTAACGTCATGTAATACTTTAATACTTATTATGTCCAACTTCAATTGAGTCTTCTAATCTATCAGATTCCTTCCTAATCATAAACTAGAAAACTTCTTATACTTGGCCTTCTGATAAGGAACACAGTGGGTAGTAAAATAAATGAAACCGCTTCAAAGATACTGTGAGATTATTTTTATCAAAGCATTTCTTGAGTATTTCCCTTTGATAACAATGTCTTCATATTAAAGTAAAATTCTGATATTGAAAAATTTTATGTTAGCTTCTGTCATGTGTAATCCCTTCAATGGTAACCTTTGTCATTGTGTATTTATATGTTACAAAGTGCTATTTTTATTGCTACTTATACTAAATGATTTTTATAGTATAGTAATTTTATAGGAAGTGAATCAATACTTGAAGGGATCTAAAACTGATTATTTTATTTTCTTCCTCCCTTTTTTGCTGTTGTTTTTAAACTAAATAAACTGCGTGTGAGTACTTGTGGGGTGTGTTTTATGCTACTGCTCATTGAAAACAAAATAATTCTGGTGTATTGAAATTTTCTTTTAGATCAAAACAAACAAAACAAAACCCTTATATGTATAAATGCATAAGTTAAAATCTTAACCTAACCTAATGGTTGGAAACAGATTCTGAATGTATGAAACACTTAGCAAATAAATGAATATGAAATATACTACATTCATTCAGTCTATGGTTAAAAGAAGTTCTGCTTGCTATTGCCAGAATAAAAACATCTTAACCTTGTCAAAGCCGTATTTGGGTGTTGAGATGAATTAAAATTAAGAACATCTTTTCGTGAAGAGAGGCATTGCCAATCTTAACCGCCAGGTCTAGCGTATTATTGTTGTAGTTGTTTGTTATATCTCAACAACTAAATAATAATAATATAATTTTTTTAAAAACAGCTCCTCCAGCTTCTCATTCGTGACCTTCAACAGCTAGGTTGGACAGGGATCCAGTATACATGGAAAAGCTAAAAGCCTAAATGCTGTTGGACTGCTTGTTTCAGGAAGAGTACATTCTGAGAACCATACTGAAAGCACATATATTGTAGTTTGATGAAGCGATCCATTAACTTTATAGATTCAGAGCTGTCACCTTCAAGCTTTCCCTTGTCTATTGTTCTAATTGAATTTTACTTACATCCTTATCTGGAGATGATGATGACTGCTCTCTGAAACACCGGAAGAATATACAGGTAGTCCTTGGTGTGACTGTCTCACTCAGTGACTGTTCAAACTTACAACAGCACTGAAAAAGTAGATTTATAACCAGTCCTTGAACTTATGGCCATCATAGCATCCCTGCAGTCACATGATCGCGATTCAGGCGCTTGGCAACCAGCGTGCATTTATGATGGTTGAGCATCCCTCAGTCATGTGATCACCATTTATGAACTTCACAGCTGGCTTCCAACAAGCAAAGTCAACGGGGAAGCAAGCAGTAAGTCACAAGTTGTGGTCAATGACATTGTGCTTAATGACTGTGGGTGATTTGCTTAACGACTGCAGTGGAACTGACATTGTAAATTGGGCACAGTCATGTGATGTTTCACTTAACGATCGTGCCGCTTAGCCATGGGGTGGCTGGTCCCAACTGTGGTCAGTAATTGAGGACTACCTGTATACTAAAGATTTAACTTCAGTCTTATACATATTTATCTGGGAATAACTCTCACTGAACTTAGAAAGAATTATTTCTGAGTGGAGACATTCATAGGATTGTTTTCTGAACTACTCATCATAGTCAAGTCTTTGGAGGATGCATATTGAGCTGATAGAATAATTTTGACATACCTATATTGCAAAGTTTTACATCTGACAGGTCGCTGAGAACTGAAATCCTTTGAAGGGGAAAATTCTTGATCTCCTGAGCAGTCTGCCCTAGACCTTTCCACTATCATCCATCTTTACAGGAAATCCAGACCCTATAGTCTCTGCACTGAGAATTCCTCTGTGGCATCTGAGGCTAGCCAAACCTTTCTTCCTACTGTTTGACAAAAGATTATTCAGACCATAGAGGAGCATAAAAATTGTGATTTTATTAACATTTAGTTCTGAGTTTCAGTGAGACATTTGCCTCTATGCTCCTCAAACTTGTGTTTTTTCCTATATGAACCAGTGAGCCAAACCCATTAGCTTTATTACATTGTAATTTCATGTTTAATTCATACCTTGCAGTTTTCTCTAGATCACTTAAAGTATTTTCATTTTTTAGCATTAGTCTTTATATACATATATCTTCCTCAGTATTCACTCCTAATGAATTAATATTTGTGTTTTCCCAAAATGAGCTTCATTTTGCCACTGTAATCTTCTGTTCATTTGTTATATGATTTATTTTGATGCCACTTTCCCTCAGTGAACAGTTTAGTGTTTGCTATGCCTTTGCTGCAGGGTCAGTCTGCTGACAGCATTTATATCAGAGCCTCCATTTGTAAAGCAATATCCAGGAAGATAGGAATGTTGCCATCCCTTTTCATATGTCCCTAAATGTCCAATTTTATAGGATTCACCTAGGAATTTAGTGATAAATAAGAACCAAATGGTTTTGTAATAGCAGCAATAATGATGATCAGAATTCAAGAACTGTGCAATTTATACAGCCATGCCCGAATGATTAATTACATTAAACTTGGAATTGCAATGCAAGCAGAATGGTCAAACTTTGATTATCTGGAAGAATATGTTTATATTGAACTGAGCAAAAATCTTGTTAGAGGGCAGTGCTTTTCAAACTATCTACCTTCAGATAAATCCTTTCAGGTTGATTTTATCTCTTACAAAAACAAATGGGCTCTGCAAAAGGTCCGGATGAATGGCACAGGGCATACTTAACTAATTCAAGGCACTTCCCAAGTCTTTCCAGATTCAATATTGCTTTAAATTATCTGAAAGTATGTTTTAGAATGCAGCCAACAATCTGCAGTGGCTTTTATATAGCACTAACCTAGTGAGATTTACTTATTTAGAGATGTTATAATTTTAAATAGCTGATATTTTGCCATTTAAGTGAGGAACATTGTTTAAAATTATATTTTAAAAGTATAAAATCCTTAGCATTAAGAATAACCCATGGTATTACAACATAGGAACTTATAACATTTCACATGAATTAGATGTATGGAACCAGATATGAAGATATAAATCTTCTCCCAGAATTGTACAATGCTGAATTGTCTATTCTATTTGTGTTCATTATTTTTTGCATTAATTTGCTTTTTACCAGTTTAAAAATCATGGGGCTGTTTGGTCTTTTGGTAAAAGAGATAGTAGGAAAGTATATCTGACAGTAAGTTGCCAACAGTTCAAATATACCTGAAGAGCTACATTGCAGAATGCCTAACACGGCACAAGACTTCTGAAGTTTGGAAGAGGAGGTGGCTGCTGAATCTGGATTCTCTTTCTTGACTATTTTCTAATGTACAGTAAGTAACCTGGGCAGCATCCCCAATTTGATGGCCTCCATTTGTGCATGCCAATTGGCAAATGGCAATTGTAAACCAAGACATCCGGAGAGCACCTGAATAAGAAAGATTTCATTAAGGCGTTGAAAGCCACTTCTGCACTGAAGCCAAACTTCAACCCTGTTTGGAAATAAAAAACAATGAAATAATCACACTTCTGAATTCAGTGATGAAGCTGTTTTTCTTACTGCATCATGAATCTGCAGTTTCCCCATCATGGAACACTTCATACCAAAATGCACCAACAGTAAGACTTGTACTTTCTTGGTGCACTGAAGAGCACTGCTAAATACAAGTTGAATCCATTACCACTATTGTTTCATTATGAAAATCTAACTTGAAACAGTAGAAAAATATATATTATAGAGTGGTTAAATTTATTGGATTAAATCCCAATTTTATGCCAAGAGAAGGCTGTTTTGGCTGTGAGTTTTTCTACATTCTCCACTTCATTCCAGTTCTGACAAAATTTTCAGGGATATTTGGGGTCCACAGCAAAGGCCTGAGATATGCTATGTGGGACAGTGATAGTAGACATTCATTGGAGAAAATCAGATGGAAATGCCTTAAGCAAGCAAAGCTCACATTATGCAAGTTGTTTTCACCCAGTTTTTCCAGTTACCCCTTCCACTACTACTGCTCCTCTGTTCCTTATCCAAGACATTTTTTGTAAATCCTACAACCACTAGGAGTGTCTTTTCTGGTAGCTGCAATGGAAGTAGAAATGCATAAGATTCAGTGTGAAAACACCTCCCACTTATACAGTTTTACATGCAACACCATTTGTACACTTATCCTAATTCTAAGAGAAATTAAATGTGATTATGGATCAATTTTGTTTACATCTTATAGCAATTTTCTTTAGCAACTTGATTAATAAGATAATTAGACAAAAATTGTGTGAAAAAGATAAAATAAATTTTGATTACAGTCAAGTGCAAGTGTTCACATTTGGGGAAGTTTGTTTGTTTATTTATAGCATCTTTTTTCAAGATCTTCCTGCTCCTATTTTTCAAAGAATTGTCCACCTTAACATTTTTATCAATTTTATGTTACAATTTAAATAAAAATGTATAAATGTTCTTAATGTTCTAGGGGAAAGCTCTGATATTTGCTCCACTTAGAGGAGATACTCTAAACCAGTTTTGCAGTCTAGCTGAAAAGGCTGGTTTTTCTATCCAAAGACATGAAAATTATGATGAACACATCTCAAACTTCCACTCCAAGGTTAGTTTTCTGTTCATGGTAGATAACACTTTAATCCACATTGCATTTTGAAGAGATCATGGTTCTTTTGGCAGGTAACCTAAATGTTTGATTAAAGTACTCATAGGTATGCTGCTTCTAAATAGCTATTTTTTTGTATCTGATTATTTTGTGTGGAAGAACCATCCTTTATCTTTGCATATCTAGAAGAGCTTTACAGAGGCTTTGCTTCACCATTTCCTCAGAATTAATCTGTTCATTCATAGGGATCTAATTCAAAACATTCAGGTGTTTAATTTTGTTCATCTCATACACATCTATTAAAAACAACTGTATATACAGGTATTTTGAGCCTAAAGCTTATAGCAATTAACTCCATTGAATATCAAAAAATATGAAAATAATTAGGAGGTGAATGTCTAATTGTATCATATCATGTTGTAAATCCACATTTGGTTTATGAGTGGGTCATATGGCAGCTTCAGTTGGAAAAATCTCATATAGAATATTCTGGTTATGAGGCTATATATGTCTGATTTCTACATTACAATATTTAGCCAAAAGCACTTATCTTTTTTAAGCTTGTTTTCACAAAGGGACTGTTATCATTGTCCTCTTTTATCATATTTAGTGTAATAAAAGTATAGTGTTATATGGCACTGAAGACTTCATAAAAAACTTATTTCCTTATTTTTTTTTCATACTTTATAATCTTTAACTTTTCTAAATAACTGCTTCCAGTCCCATGCATTTCAACTCATGGAGCAGGCTGTGAAGTTCATTACACTATAAAAAGGAACAGGAAGCTGTAACATTACACATCCAGTCCCACTTCAAAGATATTTCGCAATGGGCATTTTCAGCAGTGCTTAATATCACCTCTAAAGCAGAGTCTTACACTTTAAGAAATTGTTTGAAAAATTCTCCTTCCCCTTGAACAATTCGGAGAAATCATCCACCAATTCATCTACCAAGGACTATAGTAAAGAATTTTGAAAGTCCATTTGTGCCACCTGGGTGGGCACAGAAGCTAAGCAGTTTCAGACCTGCCCTGGCTAGCTGTAGGCTACACCAGGAAGACAAGACTCTTCACAGAAGGTAATGGCAAGCCACTTCCACATTGCTGCCAAGAAGACTATGTGGACATGTCCATGAATTCACCAAGAGTCAAACCTGACTTGAAGGAGCCTTTACCTTTAACTGTGAGACAGTCAGTCATTATGATACATGATGCTGCAAGCATGGAAAAAAATCATAGGGCTTACATGAATTGCTTCTTTCAGTTCCCTCTCCAGCTATAATCAAAAGGTATATCTAAAGCTGGAACAGGGCAGAACAGTATGTATTTTTATGAGCTTTGGGCACACCACATACTAACCATTAATAACACAGTATTCATAAAACAGTAGTTTATACAATTAAGCTGATTGTCTGGGCTCATGTAATAAGATTTGATTATGTGCCATCAAATTGTTTTCAACTCCTAGCAACTACATAGATAGATTTTCTCCATGACAATCTATCCCTAACCTGTTCTTTCAAGTCTCCCAATGGTGCACTCATCGTCACTGTAATTGAGGCCATCCACCTTGCTGCTGGTCATCCTCTTCTTCTCTTTCCTTCCACCTTTCTCAGCATTAGAGCCTTTTCCAGAGAGCTTCTTCGCATAATGTGCCTGAAGTAGGATAATTTGAATCTAGTCATTTGTGCCTCGAGTGAGAACTCTGGGTTGATTTGATCAATGATCCATTGGCTTATTTTCTTGGCTGCCCATGGTATTGTCAGAAGTCCAACACCAAAGTTCAAAGGCATCAATACTCTTCCTATCCTGCTTGAGGCACCCCACAGAGTAGAGTCCACAGGTTGGATCTCTCGCTCCCTATCAACACCAATTCAGATCAGCCTTGGAGGAAGGAGCTGAACCAGCACAGAACTGGTCCTCCCAGCCGCAACTCCTGCAGCCAACCCAAAAGGATACCATAGTCGACGGTACTGAAAGCCGCTGAGAGGTCAAGAAGAGCAAGGATGGATGCACTATCCCCATGCTGCTCTCTCCAGAGGTCATCTAGAAGTGTGACCAATGCTGTTTTGGTCCCATAACCAGGCCTGAAACCTGACTGTTAGGGGTCCAGATAATCCATTTCCTCCGGGATCCTCTGAAGCTGTCACGTGACCACTTTTTCCACAACCTTTCCTAAAAAGGGAAGGACAAAAGTTCTTCAAAAGGGTGGAATATAATGATGATTTCTTGAGGAGACAGTGGACCAGCCTCTTTAAAAGGCATCAGGAACACCCCCTCCTGCAAGGATGAATTAACCACCACCAGTACCTACCCCAATGTCACCTCTCTGATGGCTTTAATCAGCCAGGAGGGACAAGGATCTAAAGCACAGGTAGCCGCACTAACAGCCCCAAGGACCCTTTCCACTTCCTCAGGTCCAACAGGATCAAACGATTCCTTAACTGGGTAAGCCCGCTCCCTGGGCATCTCCACTGGACCTGCATCATGCTTAGCCTCCAACTGGGAACGGATCCGAGCAATTTTATCTGACAGGTGTTCAGCAAATTCCTCTGCGTGACCCTGTAGGTGGTCCTCTGAACCCTCCTTACCCAGGAGGGACTGGGTGACCCTGAACAGGGCCTTCAGGTGACACTCTGCGGATACAATAAGGGCAGAAATATAATGGTGTTTCGCTGCCCTTACCACCACAATATAGGCCTTAATAGCAGCTCTAACCCGTGTTTGGTCAGACTTGGTCACCACTGTTTTCTGCCAGTGGTGCTCTAGACATCTCTTGGCATTCACAAAACACACTGGACACAAACTGACCAACCACATTTTAGCCTAGCAGTTGTAGATTAGCTAGTGGTTCAGCATGTCATACAAGCCCAGATCTGTGGGTTAATTAAGTAAGCCATGGCCAAGTTAAACTTGGAAAACCATGCTGTAACTTGAGTTTATTTCTTTATTTCAGCAATTTATATGGCTACCCAACTCACTCATGGTGACTCCGGGCTGCTTACAGAAATAAAAACCCCAAATACAAAACCCACTACACCCCCCTACCACAATTTTAGAACAAACAAAAGGGAAAAAAAACTTCACTTATGAAATTTACTTCCAGAAGATGTAATAAAGGCTGCTAACTTATATAGATCTAAAGGAAAATCCAGTAAAACCCATCAATGGCTATTAGGCATAATAGTTAAAAAGAAATTCTAGGTTCAAAAAAATATATCAGTTGCGAGTGGGTATTACCTAAGAAACCATTGTTTAATCCAGCAAAGGTTTATCATGTCATATCCAAGTATCTCCCAGATTAGACAATATATATAGCAGTGAGGAAATCTTTCTTGGCTTCACCTCTTATCCAAACTTCCTTGCTTTCTAAAGAGCAAGAATTGGAGCTTCCAGATTTATATTCCACTGTCCTTTTGTATGCCTCTTTATCCCATAACTCTCAGTAATATATTAAAAAGAGTTTGGAATATGATGGGGCAACTCCTTTGGTCCTGGAGACCATATGTGGTGCTTCCTCATGAATTAGAAGAAAGGTGGCTGAGGATCAGTGGGCAGAAAATAAAGTAGCTAACAGCGGATGGCACTAAGGGCAGAAGCCAAGCAGAAAGGCATTCTTTTCTTGTATGTGTTTACACACATATATTTTGTCCTCCATTGGGTGCAATTATATGCATGGGCTCTGGCTGCTGATTCTGAATGCCAGGTAATAAGACCATCCTTATCCATGACCTAACTGTAGGTGAGGCAGCTGACCCGGCATGTATAACGAAGGCTTGACTAGGTGCAGCGGGGAAAGTTCTCTCCTCAGAGTTATGCCTGGATTTTGAGTCTGGCACTGGCCATGAATCCAGAGAAGGAGCAGTGGGGTACCAGTTGTCATCCATAAGGACATGATGGCTTTCAGGGGAAGCCATCCTTGCCTGAGCTTCTAGATTCCATTGTCAGGTTAGCAATTGAGTCCCAAGGCTTAGAATTCTTGGTGACTTCAACCTCCGTCCAGGTGGTACTGAGTCTGGGACAGCTCAGAAGTTCATGATCACCATAGCAACTATGGACCTGACCCAAGTCATCAAGAACATGAAACACTAGAGATCTGGTTTTTGTCTTAGTGTAATTGCAACATAATCTGGGAATGGAAGACTTTACCATCAGTTCATTGCCATGGGCAGATCACTCCCTGACTGCTTGTCAGCTTGCTGATGAGCTCCCCCCGCCCCTGGGTGGGAGGATCTATTAGAACAGTCTGCCCCACGTGACTAATGGACCCTGAGGGGTTCCAGAGGGGTCCCCCCCACACAAGGATCTAATAGGCAGTTTAATTGAGGCCTTGATTGCTGCTTAGAATAAGAATGTAATGAGGACCTTAGACCAGATTGCTCCTATGTGGCCTCTCGCTGTGCATCAATCCCAGGATGTTCCTTGTTTTTCTGACAAATTTCAGAACATGAAATACCAGAAGAGATGCTCAGAGTGCTGTTGGAGGAAGATGAAGAGTGAATCTAACCAAATACAAATAATAGCCCATTTTAGGATTACATCATAGTGATAACAGCAACAAAAGGTAGCTTTTTTTCTGCTCTTATCACACCCACAGATAGCTGTCCAATAGCCCTTTTTAGACTGACTTGTTTATTTGCAGGAGGAGAGAAGCCACAGGACCACCTGCAAGGCCACTGGGAGGAATATTGTAGACATCTGGTGGATAAAGTCATTCAGATTCATTTGAAGTTGAACTCTCATTGAGTATGTCCTGTTGAGGAGCAGAAGCAATGTCTCTATAGTTAGCTGGTGTGGGTCTTCCGGGCTGTGTGGCCGTGTTCTTGAAGTTTTGTTTCCTAACGTT